ACAGAAGAAACTCTACAGAGATGTGATGCGGGAAACCTTCACGAACCTGGCCGCAGTGGGTAAGGATGACAAGTTACCTTCAGTTTGTCAATTAGAGGACAGTGTTTCTTACCCATCAACCTTGTTCTCAGATGTGGAATGTGGAAAGGGAGGACACTGGTAAATAAACTGGGCATCATCACAGCTCATCATAGAACTAGAACCTAATGATTTCTCTATAATTTCTAATACTCTGGAATCATTTTTCTGGGATCTTCATTTTAGGACAGAAATGGGAAGATCATGATATTGAAGATGAATACAAAAACCAGGGGAGAAAACCAAGGTGAGTCACGCTCACAATAGAGAGCGTTGTCTAACATGACAATCCCAGTATTTCATAAAATTTTCAAAAGAAGTAAACAAAATAACCCTGCTTCAAATGTATTACTTCTCAGAAAATTTTCACCAAATTACTGTCTTATACATGACAAAGATGTTCAGTGTTTGAATACTAGTTCAACTGGAAAACAGCATTCAGAAACTTTGTACATGAATATCACTGTGTTGATAATAATAAGGCTGAGGTCCTCATGCACAATATTTTATTTAATTTCAAGTCATTCATTCAGACAACGGGAAACCCTACAATGTTGCTATAAATCATAAAAATGTAGATTAAATATTCTAATCAATATAAAATCCCTAATAAAGAAATCATTAGTAATGTGCTTCTCATTTTTTATAGAATTCCAGTGGTAGAGAAAATCTGTGAATGGAAAGAGGGTATTCAATGTGGAGAAGTCTTCAGCTTCATTCCAAATCTAAAAATGAACGAGAAAACTCTTGTTGGAGCGAAACCACGAGAAAACAGTGTGTGTTCGAAAATCTTGATACATGATACATCCCATAATAGGCATATCAGCTGTCACACTGGACATAAGCCCTCAGAGATTCAGGATTGTGGAGAAAAGCCATATAAATATGGGCAAGCTTTCAGTTATGTCCAGTGTTTTGAAAAACATGAGAGAAATCACCATGGAGAGAAAACCTATAAATGTGAGGAATGTGGGAAATCGTTTAGTTCTTCAACTTCACTTCAAATACATGAGATAACCCACACTGGAGAGAAACTCTATCAATGTAACCGATGTGGGCTAGTCTTCAGAGATTATGTTACCTTAAAAAGACACAGAAGTCTTCATATTGGAGAAAAACCTTACGTATGTAAGGAATGTGGGGTTGCCTACAGATATTATAGTATGTTACAAAGACACGAAAGAATTCATACTGGAGAGAAACCGTATGAATGTAAACATTGTGGACTATCATACAGATATTTGAGTAGCTTACGAATTCATGAAACAATTCACACTGGAGAGAAACCGTATGTATGTGACTTATGTAATAAAACATTTAGTTGTCTTAGTTATCTTCGGAAACATATAAAATATCACTGCAGAGGAACACCATGATTGTAAAAACTGTAATAAAGTATTTTGATGTCCCAGTGATTTTGAAAAACATGTAAGAAACCACCAGAGAAACCTTTTGACTGTAAACATTGTGATAAAGCCTACAGAGATCACAGCTCCTTACAAAGACACGAAAGAACTCGTACTGGAGAGAAACCCTCCGAATGTAAGGAATGTGGAAAAGCCTTCATTTATGCCACTACCTTTCAAAGACACATGACAATGCACAGTGGAGAAAAACCATAGAAAAATGCAGAATGTGGGAAACAGTTCAGTTATCCCAGCTCCTTTTCAAAGCATGGAAGGACTCACTGGATAAAACCTTTTGAATGTAATCAGCATGGGAAAGACTTGAATTGGTCCACATTCTTACAAGTGAAAATTCCCACAAAAAAAAGTAAAAATGTAAATAACATGAGAAAGCTTGATAGAAATAAATCCATGTATAATGTGCCAGAAAGTTTTCAAGATGAAGAGTACTCATTTATGTTGTAGATATATTGTGTTTATTGACCCTCTTTTTAGAGTGCATCATTGGACTGTGGATTCCTACTAATTAGTTTCCGAAGTGAATATTCACCTGAGATATTTCTGAGAGTCGTCTCTCAACAACAGTATATAGATAAATAGGTAATGCTTCTTCCTTAAAATGTTTAACAATATTTTCTATTGTTTTGAACCCTATCAAATCCATGGGTGAATTGAAATGTATTTTTTTACAGTTTTGTTGTTGTTGTTGTTGTTTTTTAAGCTGAGCCATCCTGCCACCTGTTGGCAGCTCAGCAGCTGCTCAGCTCGGGCCGGGCATCGAACCGCTGTTGCTCAGAGCTCAAACTCTTGAGTGAGCTCTTAACCAACTGAGCCACTTGACCGGCCCTGAAATGTATTTTTATATGCAGTTAGGTGAAATATCTTTATATAATGTTTTATTTGTTTTCTTTTAGGGGGTTCATTGAGAAAAATTACAATTTGTATCTGGATTTTCCTTGTGGCCTTGTGACATTCCTTTATATCCCAGTCCATTGTATGTATTCTATTCCCTCTGACAAAACTACTTTTTTGAGGTGATGGGTATAGGAGCCTTTGTCTATTTTTCATACTAATAAATAGTTGGAATAAGTTTTATGTATGGCAACTTTAGGAGAGAATATATTTTCATGTAAATTTTTATTTTCATATTCTGCCTTTTGCTTTTCGTCCTTCCTTTGGAATAATGCTTGTTGAGTAAACTTTGAAATAAGAAGAGGGACCTGTGAAAGGGCATCAAAATCTAGAGCTGGGGATTTTCCCTCCCATAGGGTAATGGTAGGACTTTGAGTTCCAGAATCCATCGCCTTTGTGGTCCATATTAGGATTCTTTAGTAGCTTTACTTGCATGAGATTTGGAAGGCAAAAGTAGAGAAGAAAGTCATGTTTTGGAGCCCTTTACAGACAGAAAGATATATAGGAGCTTTCCTGACAACACCTTCCAGCCCATTATCCTGATGCTTTGACCTTTCAATCAAGACTATGCTGAAAACCACCACGAATGGTCTGATATTATTTTCTGAGAAGTATACGTTTCCACTAATGTCTGCACAAGATCCACATCAGAGATCCATCAGCTTTTGGATTTTTCTGTCATCCCTCTTTGTCCACCAGGAAACTAAATCAGACTTTCATGCTTATGTCTGATTCCCTTGTTTTCTAGATTATATCTGTATGAGGTCTAATTTGTATAGGGAACACCCTATACTGTTAACAGTGCTAGTGACCATACTTCCCTAATTCATCGAGACACCTCTAATAATTCTGTTAAAAAGGATGTGGGAGTTTGTTTCTGTGCTGCATGTGCAGTGGCTGCCATGACCCGGTCCTTCCATGTGCGAACTAGGCCCCTTCCTCCTGTCAGGAAGCCTGTGGGTGTTTCCTGTTACCTGGACCTGAATGTGAGCCCTCGGTATGTTTTCACTTATGTTTGATTGTATGTGATGAAAAGTACATGTATTTTTTTGTCAAATGAACACTTCTATAGGTGTTTCATAAGTTACTGTGTTCTACGTTGTTGTATACTAATAAATATTGTTTTTCAAATGTTAAAATGTCCCAGTATAATTATGGATTTTAAAATAAACAGTCTCTTCATTTGATCATTATACATTATGAATCAATTTTGTCATGTGCATTCATGTTCAGGTAATAATTCCTGAGGCTTTCTTTATGTTTTTTTTATAGTTATAGTTTTTGGCATGACACTAATATTCATTCACTCTTTTTTTTTTTTTTTAGCTGAGCCATCCTGCCACCTGTTGGCAGCTCAGCTCGAGCCGGGCATTGAACCGCTGTTGCTCAGAGCTCAAACTCTTGAGCAAGCTCTTAACCAACTGAGCCATTCAGCTGGCCCCAATTCATTCACTCTTAATACCAAAATCTTAAATCGTGGTTTTCTTCACTGCCCTCTTGCCAGTGACCTGCAGAATGGCGCCTGTAATCAGAGAGTGGTATGATGAAACCTAATAATAAGAATGACCACAAAGCACACATGACTGTTGGTTGTAACATAAAAGGTTGTTCAGGACTTTGATAGGATTTGGCTTGTGTTAGATGATTTGATAGTTATGCAAGGCACCAGGACATTTTTGTATATTGAATCCTATGAGGAAGTGAACTTTTATGTTATTGGTAGTCACAAACATTTTTTTCCAGAAGCGAAAAAAAATTTTAGTAAATCTAAATGTAATTCATAAGAACCCCCAGTGAGCCTTATTAGTAAGAAGACGGCCAATATTGGTCATTTTTATGATTTGGAGTGGTCACTTGCAATTTGTGAGAGAAATAAATTTTTGTCTTAATTGATCATGGTCACTGAGTACTTTTGCTGAAGGAGGTGTGGTGACACCTTTCTGTTTAACAGGGTAAGGCTTGGCCTTACAAAGATTGCAGGCCAGCTCTCCATCCTCTGAAACTGGTTATGCTTTTAGTACTTATTATTGGAACACTTATGTATTTCCTCCAGTATATTACATCTTCTATAAAATACCTCAGTTAAAATTTGTAATTTCACTTATATACTACATAATGTTTTTAATATCACCTTTCTGTCTCAACTGTAAGTTTAGGTAAATTGTGAGAGAACACAAGCCTAGCAAGGAAGAAAGACAGGATCACTGGTCCAATCCAGCATTTCTTTCCTGGAGACTGTGCTCCGATGCTAACGTTTTACATTCCTCATTGCTAGGCACTTTAGAGACATAGAACCCAATTTAGCAGAAATAATCAAGGCACTGTAGGATTTGGAAGTAGTGACATGAGACAATCTTGTTCTTGCAGTCTTGGTGCTTAAATTTTTATGGGAAAAGAGAGGATTAGAAAACGTTATAACTTTAGTTTATAAGAAGAAAATAAGTGCTTTGAAGGAAAGTAAGAACTGATGTGATATAATTGGGAGGCTCAGTATGTACATTTCTATGAGGGTAGGAGCCTCAGTGGGTGAGGATGTCATTAATGATCACTTGTATTTCGATCATGTAATACATTTTAAATACTGTTTTCAGAACTGCTTGGTTATGGAAATAAATAATGGGTGGCAATAGAGGGTGTCCTGCTTTCAATGATTAACAAATGTTCACCATAGATGTGGTCCATTTGCATTTATGCAGTTGTTACAAATTTTATTTTTAGAACATGTGGTCATGAGTTTGGATATAATTTTATGGCACTTGAGACTTCCTATTGATTTTGGCCACGGATATTTATGGTGTCTTCTTGTGTTTAATGTAATTTGAGCAGATTTATCACTTATCTCTAAATATGTAAAATGTTACAGTATTTAGCATTTTCCCATTGCTGCTGTACACACTGAGTGACACAATGTATATCCCCTTAGACTATGGAGTCCTCCTAGTTGGAGAAAGAGATACATTCACCTGCACGGTTCTAGCCCATCCTGAGTTTACTTTATGTGTAGGGTGATATCTATGGAGATCAACTGCTATTCCACCATAGAAACACCACAAAGAGGTATGGATGTGTAAGGCAATCATCCAAGGAATAACAAACTGGTGAGCTGCAGAGATAGGGTATCATTTTGAGTAATATCCTATTGAGTGTCACAGGAGAGATGGGAAATTTTAACATCTTTTTCTTACACAAGTCATTGGAAGCCTTTTTCAATGAACAACATAGCCCCACCACCCATTTTGCTGTTCACAGGATTCGTTTCCATATGCTCAGACTTCTAACGCATTTTATAGAAGGGTGGAAGATACACGTAACAGCTTCAAGTTTTATTAAAGAACAAAGGAAATTCAATCTTTTTCATGTTTTTTAGTGATAAGTAATATTTTGGAGGGTGTTTATTCAAATGGGCACCACAGAATGTTCTCTTGGGCAGATGGCATGTTTTGTATCTTTTGATGGAAGTATTTTTATACATTCGTGAAAACTCACAAGTACACAGTATTATACCAGAGGTGTCAAAAAAATGTATACAAGCGGACACTGGTCAATGTTTAATGAGTAGATTGCTATAATCAGAAGTGTCGGGACACTGACAGTAACCACTTTGAGCACCTCTTGTAATTGCAGAAGTCAAACGTGACTTATATTCATCTTTTGTTACTGGTATATACTGAGTATTAACAATTTTAATACAGCTTTCCTTTCTTAAAATGTGTATACATTTTTGGCACCCTCTGTACATACACATAATTACATATATTTTTATATGCATAATTTATATATAAATATGAATAACATACGTAACTTTATGTATGTAATTAAAGAAATGAATAACACTCAATAAAAACCGATTTTTTTTAAGGAATTGCATTGGGGTACAGTGTGTTTTTCCATGACCCATCAGCTCCAATCAAGTAGTTATCTTCAATCTAGTTGTTTAGGGCACAGCTCCTTGGCCCACGTGGGGATGGAACCGGCAACCTTGGTGTTATGAGCCTGTGCTCTAACCACCTGAGCTAACCAGCCACCTCCCCCTCACCACAAAAAAACAAACCCTTGATTATTATGTGTTCAACACTTCTTTCCACAACTGCAGGATTCTTGTCGAGATCACTCCCTTATGTCGCCTCCTGACACCCTTTTACCACAGAGACTTTAGCAGTCTCCTATCCTTGTGTCCTAAAGCAGCCATGGTGGTCTAAACTACCCAAGTCATTCTTGTACCAGAAGCTATTTTATTGAGCTTATGCCGCACACACACAATTAGAGAAGCGCTGGTGGTAAGTGACAGAGTCTATTTGTAAGGGGAAGATCCTCCCACTGCCTGAGTTGCTGACCCTCCACAGCCAACTTCCCATTTTATCTGGGTCATAAATATAGGACCCCTCAGGCTTGCAAACCAGAAGCTCCTCATTGAAAAGGTATTGGCACTTATAGGATAGAGCATTAAGTGTCCCCTCTGGCATATTCCTCTTACAGGAAGGCGTGTGTTCCCCTAACATTGATGCAATCTGTTCTAGAAGAGGTCTCTCCATTTCTAGACACTTTGGCCTCGTTAGGTGTCACTTGGGAGCACATGAATGACCAGGGAGTTCATACACTTTATAACAGTGTGCCATCCCCACACCTGATAGAGTTCACTGCACAGATGCTGTGTTCTGTCCCTAGATCAAACAGGCCAACCCTGATCAAAGACTGGACCCAAGCATCAGATTGACTAGTCATCTTCCATGTAATCATGCTAGCATTAGAAAATTCTCTAGACAAGAATTGAACCCATCTACACATTTTTATAGATCCTTTGGCCAGTGACAATGATCTAGCTGTGCACCCATAA